GACATCACACACAAGCTTTCAAAAACACACACACTACAACATAGTATTACACACTGGTGCAATAAATTCAAAACAATATATCCAAAACTGGTAAGTTATGTTGCTTGTGGTTCTCCCCCTCAAAAACCTTTTCACATGAACACAAAAGACACAACCAATGTATACATTGTCACATTTTTATTCATTCATGTACTACACCGCACAACTGTATAAAAAAAAAAATTATTCCGTCTCAGCATCCCGTCTTTGTTCTGGATCAGGCCAGAGAATCTCGTCCACATCACAGGCTATATTGGCCCTAGCCAGGCAGCGAGGGTAAAATCCTCTTGCATGCCTGATCCACCCCTGGCATGCATCTACTGATGGACCCCAATGCACACACTAGACTCCGTTTAACATAGGAACTTTCACATATTTCACTCATGTTTTGTTAATAATTGTGCTTGTTAGGTGATTTTATGTTCTTTAATCACTAATGGAGGTGGTTTGGTGGCTTTGTTTATATTATTTTCTACTTGCGTTTGATTGACATCGGCATCCTCTCTCACTTGTTCGTTCTTCGTTTGTGTGCTTGTTTGACTGCTACAATAACCCCAAATGTTTCAATACACTCTCAGTCTCTGTGTTTCAGGGGAAATGTAAACAATACCACATCTGATTAAACAAATAAAGGCATATCTTGGAAGATAGAAACACTGAAAAACAGTATAAAATGATTCTCTTGTATGTTTGAACTCTCGTGACTGAAGCACACTAGAAGCAGGTCAGTTTCCGATCAGGTTTTGCACAGAAAACTAGTATGGTGTTGGACAGCATCTCTGGAATAAAATCAACTGCCGACATGAACCTGCACACACCAGGTTTTGTTGTCCCCCTTTTATGCCAGTTAAATTTGCTGTTTTTGTAAATTTACAATAACTGTTGAAATAGATTTCAGTTTTTATCTGTCATATCAACAGTTTGTTCTCCTAATATCTAATTCGAGAAACAAACTTTATCGTCCAAAACATTTCTGGACCAACCAATTGAGCCTGGTGTGTGCAGGTTCCAGCGCTGGTTTATCAGGAGATGCGATCGCTATGAAGCAGTATCAGGTCTTGTTGTCTGTGTCTTTGCGTGTATGTTTGTGTGTGTGTGTGTGTGTGTGTGTGAGGTGAGGGACAGTGCGCTGATGCAGTCAGCCATTGGCTGTTCATCTGACAGACATGTGAATATTGTGATTAAAGACAGGACAAAATTACTGGTAGAAACATGTATCTGAAAGGTCAAATCCAATAAAACATCTAGTACATTTAATACTACCAAGTGATGTCTGACTCTTCATTTCTGCATCTTTATCTTCTTACCAAATATCTAATAAAATCTTTTCAAGTTTTTTTTTTTTAAATGAATTGTAATATGAGATGTTACTGTTAAATCACTGTTATTTGAAGATGCTATATTCAGTGCAGATTCGGTCCCTTTTGTGTCCCCTAAAGATCATGATATTATTGCCTTAAAATTTTCAACAACATCAATTTTAAAGTAAAAAAAGAAAAACACCTTGTGAACTTTAAGCATATTTAAGTTTTTATTTATATATAATTCTAAACATCAGTAATACTTTTCTTTAATGTGTATATATTTTCCAAGTATTAAATTCATAAAAAAGAATAATGAACGTTTTTAACTTGTCCCTCAAAATATTGTCCACCCTGTTATATTCGGCTACTGGCCCTTTAAATGAAGGTTGGAAAAATAAATTATATCTTTTCAAACAGCTGACATAATTTCTTTGAAGGAAAACAACTGCGGAAGGGGAGTGAGAGCCTCTGTTTTGTTAATTGTCTGTTTTTATTTATTTTATATTTCCAATCTGATGTGCTCAACTTTAACATATCCACCCTGTTAAGGGGAATGTGAAAAAAAGTCAATAGAAATTATTATTTGTAACAGTACCATTTTAAAAAATCCAATAAATTCTTTGATAGACCTTCTGTGTCAGACTTAGTGTAATGGCTGATTTTAGGTCAAAATGTCCACCCTGTTAAGTCAGAAAAACTAACAGGCTGGACACATTTAGTGTACATGGTGATAGTGACAGCAATTGATGCTGAAGTTGAAGAAGTGGTGTATTTAATTTTTTTATTTTTAAATATTAAATTTTACATATTCATAAATATTTAAAATTGTTGTTCATTTGTCCCTAACAGGGTGGACATTTTTGGTCCTCCTTCACATTTAATTTGGCTCATACTTGCTTGAATTTATATTGTATATATACCATATATTTATATACCAAAATTATTTTTGAACACAAGAACTGATTTAAAAGAGTGTTATGATGTCAGACCGAATCCCAGGAATGACCCATATATAGATAGATAGATAGATAGATAGATAGATCCTATCATAGTACACAAATATTACTAAACCCACACTGATGCAGTATCTTAACCTTGCTATTCTCAACTGGTTTTCAAAAGATTTTGCAATGTTGTAATGTCATATTTCTTTTCAAGGTCATATTATCTTTTACCTTGAGTAGCTGTATTCATGGTTTTTGATAAAGAGGACATGCGGTTTATATTTATCAGCATCTGCTGGACTACCAAGTGTCTACCAAGACAAATGAATCTAGACCAAAATCAGTAGTCAATTCTCAGCCTCACACACACACACAGGACTTCAAATCAACCACACCCACTGCTAAAACTCCCATCTTCTCCTTCTGTCCCCTCACTGAGGCAGAAGTATCAAAACTTCTCCTCTCCAGCAATCCTACATCATGCCCTCTAGACCCAATCCCCTCACACCTTCTCCAAGCAATCTCTCCTACATTTTTACCAGCACTCACACATATCATCAACACATCTCTCCTCACAGGCACTTTCCCCACTTTATTCAAGCAGGCTCGGGTAACCCCACTGCTCAAAAAACCTACATTAAACACTTCACTTACAGATAGCTACAGACCTGTCTCTCTCCTTCTGTTCAGTGAAAACTCTCAAACGAGTTGTTTTCAACCAGGTATCGTTTCTTTCACAGAACAACAAACTGGACGCTAACCAGTCAGGTTTCAGGAGTGGCCATTCAACTGAGACAATATATGCAAATACATATATATATAAAAATACACACACAGATTATATGATGATTGAGAATGCAGCGGCACGACTGGTCTTCAACGAGCCCAAAAGAGCCCACCTCTCTTTATCTCCTTGCATTGGTTAACGGTTGAGGCTCGCATCAAGTTCAAGACATTGATGCTTGCATATAGAACAGCCACAG